CATGCTCATAATCGTATTTGTATTTGCAGCTGTTTTATTCTTCGTGCTTATTCGTATTCGTGCTCATATTTAATTTTTGTTTGTATTCATTCTTGATTTCGTAGTCGTGTTCATTTCATTTATATTTATATTCCGATTAGTATTCGTTTTCTTTATTAATATTCGCGTCGTATGCATATTCGTAATCATATTTACATTAATATTCATACTAGTATCCGTACCTGTACTTATATTTGTTATTACATTTCTATTCGTATTTGTTGTTCGTATTCGTATTCATATTCGGATTTGTATTCGTATTCGTATTCAAATTCGTATTCGTGCTCATATTCGTATTCATATTCGTTTTCTTTCGTATATTTCGTATTCGTACTCGTATTCATAATCGTGTTCGTATTCTTATTCGTATTCGTATTCAAATTCGTATTCGTATTCATATTTGTATTCGCACTCATTTTCGTATTCGTATTCGTATTCGTATTCGTAATCATATTCGTATTCTTAATCGTATTCGTACTCGCATTCATAATCGTATTCGTATTCGTATTCCTATTCCTATTCTTATTCGTATTCGTATTCGTATTCCTATTCCTATTCTTATTCGTATTCGTATTCGTATTCGTATTCGTATTCGTATTCGTATTCGTATTCGTATTCGTATTCGTATTCGTATTCGTAGTCTTACTCATATTCAAATTCGTAACCATATTCGTATTCGTATTCGTATTCATATTCGTATACACATTCGGATTCGTATTCCTATTCTTATTGAATCTTACATTCGTAATCCTGTTCGTATTCATATTGGTATTCGTCTTCATATCCGTTTTTATATTCATATATCCACTCGTACTCGTATACATATTCGTAACCGCAAATATTAAATTAAAATGCTTACTGCGACGAATGCTCATCACGATCCCACAAAGCCAAACATATTTGTTTTATACAATCGAAGGATAATCAGTAAGTATTTTTTCGGCCAAGGCCATCAGATATTTTAGATGATATAATTTTTTTTTCATTTAATTAAATATTATTATATTTTTACAATATAAAAATTGGAATTTTTTTTTTTTTTTGAAAACCGATGTAAATTTTAAATATTTTGATTCAAATAAATTTTCTTGAATTCTGAAAAGTTTGCACAATGTAGTAAGCTTGGGTTTTTTTTATTTTTTTTGAAATGAAGTAAATTTGTATTTAATTGTATTATTTAAAGTAAATTTAAAAGTTATTTTAAAAACTAGCTAATATTTTTTTACATATTTATATAAACTTATTTCCATATATAATATTATATATATAGACTTGCACATGCATTGTATTTGTATCTGTGGCCGCGTGAAATGTGGCACATTTTTCCTTTTAGCTGTCAAATTGGCATTGTCAACGTGCCAAAAGCTAAATGCAAGTGTCAGCGCGACATTTGTTCTCAAAAATATACATCCATACATATATATAAATATTGCCTACTACAGTGCTCTGTCCTCGCGAGCCTAAATCATTGTGTACCTCATTCCAACATTCACTTGCTAATGCAAGTTTTTATTTCTCACTCACAACCAACTTTGCCAGCTGCCGCCTGTTTCTGCTGTCCATCCCTTTTTGTGTGTTATGTATGTATGTATGTTTGTCCATCGCTCTAATACAATTGCAAAGGCGATGAAACGTGCCAAAATGACAAATTACCGAGTGTTAACTTTACGTTAATTTTAGCGCATATCTATGTATGTTGTATGTTGAGCACTTTGAACATTACGCCAAATGTCGCTCATACGTCCTGTCAGCCGGGCATTGTTACATTTCATTCATTCATTCATTCATTCATCCATTCGCTCGCTCATTCGCAACATTCACGCCATTAGCCCGCATTCAATTGTGCAATTCACGTAATGTTGCATGCTTCTATGTTACTATTTGTAAGTGTGTGTGTGTGTGTGACTTTGTAATGTGTTAGTGGCAGCCTAAGGCCTGAAAGTAGGCTAGGCTGCACAAATGCCTGAGCTATATTTGTATCTGTTTATGTATGTATGTAGCCAACAGCTGCATGCCGCCACAGCTCATTGGTTTAAGTATTTTTTCGTTTTTGTGTTAGATATTTTTTCCAGCGAGTTGCAGCGATGATTTACTGCCTTTAGATAGATTTGTTGGGTGCATTTGAGATCAGTGCAAAATTTGTTTATTTTTTTTTTATTGTTTTATGACAGTGCAAAAATTTTGGTGACAAATGGCGACTCTTTGACGTTGGATATTCGTTTTTTTTCTTAATTTTTTGCCCTAGATTTGTTATATCGGAAAATAGATTGCTTTAATTTAATGGTGTGTAGGCTATTAAGCACAAGCTAGAGATTAGTTTTAGAGGGTTTAGTGTTAGGAATTCAAAACACCGTAGCGCTGCTCTCTGTTATCTGTTATCGAAAAATCCTGAAAACTCCTTGGAAGTAAGCTGAGTCATTACTCTGCAAGCTTGTAAGCTCATTTTGCTTTTTATTTCTACTGTGATCTGTTTGAGTTGGAATAAATTTGTTATATCGTTCCACTTTAACTTTAAAACTAAAGTATTGAGAAGCCATTGAGTGCTTGAAATTAATTGTCTTTAGAAGAGCAGAACTCAAGCATAACATTAAGCGGTCTACAGTATGACAAAAATGATTCAAAAAGCCTTTAGATGAAAAATCTGTCACTATTGACAGACCATTTTACCACCAGAGTTGAAGAGTGAGACACAAGTCAATAATATAAGATCTATTCTTTTGTATCTAGAGAGCTCTCAGGGACATCTTTAGGCAATACAGTTTATAAAATATATTAAAGTTGACGCTTTATTATCACTAAAACGAGTTTGGATCGCGCTGAGAGTTTGGTAGAGGCACCGACTACACTTTGTCCAGATATGCCCAAGCAGCTGCGAAAAAAGTGCTAAGAAAAGTGGACCACGATTCCAGCATGAGTTCCCATCAAATATTATTTGGTTGTGACACCGCTTAGCTATTGGTGGATGCACAAAGTAAGCTTCACAGCCTGCCCAAGTGTATGGTTTTAAAATACGGATTTTTAATATCATGTCAAAATTTGTTTTCGACACTGAGGTGATGCAGTTAGTTCAAGGGCTCTGCGGTTAGATTAGAGTTTAAGGGTTTGGCCTGTTCTTTACGGTTTTTCCATAATTAAGATGCCTTTAGCCTTATGGATTGCCATCCCGTTTGAATTTTTCTATAAAAATCTGTTGGAAAATTATTAAGCAGAGTTTAAGGAGGCTGAGGAGACTGCTCTCTAATGTGAAGAGCTGGCGGCCGCATCAATTTGTACAGCTTGCTACTGCAAGTTGATTACTCTAGTACGTGCCAGTGACTCCAAAGAGTACTGTACATCTAAATACAGCTTTCAATAAGCCGTATATGGGTCTTAGCTAGCATTTTTAACCCGATACCACTTTACAGACGTATAATGTGGTCATAGGTTACCCAGTTCTTGCTACAATATTTCGATTAAAGTAGCGTGTCAGCAAAAAGAATGATCTCGATTTGTTGGCTTGTGACATCTGTTGAATAGCAGCAATTCGTTCGTCTCTGGACTTACATCCCAATCTCAATCTTTGCACTAGTCGCTTTCAAATTATAGAATATTTTTATTAGAACACTTGGAACTTGAATGTGTTTTGAAGAAACTATAACAGCAACGTCACCTGGAGGCTTTGCTCTTTGGTTTGTGCAGCGAGAGAGAATTTCAAGCAGTTGGTTGCCTAATTTAGCAAAGGTTACACTGTTTTCTAAGAGAAGTTTTACGGCCCGTTTCTCAGAGTTATTTGGTCTTTATCTAAGTTTCTTAATACCGATACAAACCTCTTATGTGTACACCTTGAGGGTAAACAGTAATTTTGCGTAGATTACTTAAGTCTTTATGGTGTTTTGGAGTAGCTGAAAGAGCAACAACGTCAATTTGAGCAGTGAGAGTAGACTCTAAGCTTTAGAGTGCCTCTTTTCGTATACTTGGCAAAGATCGGCCCTCCTAGTTCAGTGAAGAATAAACTGTTTGCTAAGAGAGATTTTACGCGTCTTACTAAATACGCTGCGATACTTTTGCCTGACAGAGCAGTGGTGACTATCCATACGGAACACATCATCAATATATTGAGATTGAGAAACACCTTATGTGCACTCTTCGAGGTTTAAAGCCTACACCGCGTTGTTAGAATTTTTCGGATAAATTCATTGTGGCTTCATATGCTCTTGACTGATGCTAAATTTATTGTTTGGAATAAAATTTCATGAGCCCTAAGTGGGAATAAAATGAATTTCGAAATTTTGAAGTAAGCATTTATGAGCTTCAGGTGGAGGGACTCAAAAAAGTATAAGCTCTCAGAAAAGGTTTGATGATATCACAGAATATCGTGAGTCATATTAAGGATGTTATAAGCATCCATATGAAATCGTGAGAAGCCTCTTCTGAGCTCTTTAATAGAGTAATGGCATCATTAAAAAAATAATTAGAATCTTATTGATTCTACATAAGGTTGGGTCTTGAGTACTACAGGTTATTTTTGTAGGATATATCTTTTTCAATTAAAAATCAAATTTCAAATATTTGATGTTTTATGCTCTTTTTTCGTTCGTCTCAGAATAACAATTGCAGTTCTTAACAGACAAATAAAATGCTCTCTTAATTAAAATCACAAATCCTGAAAATGTGGAAAAAATATCTTTGTTCTTAATTTTTCATATTTAATTTCGTTAACCTCAAAATAATAATTGTTATTCTCAAACGGCTTATGACATATTTTCTTAAACAACACTTGCAAAAATTTTACAAATTTTGAAAATGTGGAAAAAATATGTTTTTATCTAATTTTCTCAAATAAAATTTTCTAAAAATTTGTCAACCCCAAAAGTGAGGTATAAATATAACTTTTATTTTTCACCCACAATTTCTAATCTTCTATCACATAAAAAAATATTTTTTTTATTATTATTATGTTTGAAATATTTTTTTCCACTCACCTCTGTCCATCCACCGCGAACTGTTCATTCTGCAAATACAATTTGATATACGGCTGACGCGTATGCAATTTATAACGACAATTTAATGCACGCGGATATAGGCCAGGATATGCGGGCGATTGCACATAACATGTTTGCAATCTACAATCACGATATTCGCGTTCACAGTAAGAGCTGCAAGAGGGAGAGAAGAGCAAAATGAGTACAAGTATTAGAATATATATATTTTATAAATAAAGCAAATTAAAATATAAAAAAATTTATATATTTCTAAAGTGAACTCAACAAAAATAAATGGAAAAATCGTTGCGAAGAAAAGGATTTGCAGAAATTGCTCAAAAGGTGTACCCGCAGCACAGTAAATCATATTAAAAGAAGAGTGTGAAAAAAAATGAGTCTCCGCTAAAAGTGTGTGGCGGCGCGAAATGATTTAAAGCGTTCGAGATAATGCTATAATGGTATGCAAGCCGACGTTCGGCAGAAAAAAAAAACGAAAAAACAGTTAACGGATAAAGTGATTAAGGTAAGTAGAAAAGTGTTGCATACATTTAGGCAGAAGCACGTTTTTTATCCACTTTCCGCTTACCCTTTTGCGCTGGGCATAACTGAATGTGCTTAAAGTGTGCATGGGAATGCGAATGCGCTGAAAAGTCTTTAGAAAGAAGGAATTCATTTTTTTAAAGTAATTTGCTTTTTGTTGAAAATTCGCTGTTAATATCTGAAGAAAATTTCTAGATTCCCTAAAGGAGTCAGTTATATAACATCTGCACTTTACTAAGTGCTCGATCTTTAACTCTGGGTACTTGTGAGATGTACAGGATGCAAAGGAACCAAATTCGCCAAATTTTCATGTCAAAGAAAATCAGTTGAATGCACTACAGTGAAAATCATATAATAGTTGACGCAGAGTGGCTTAAACAGGAACAAAATTAAGAAATACCAGAAGATACATTTAAAAAGTCAGTGGGGCTCAAATTTTTGCAGTTTACTCGTTTTGTTGTGTTGGATTTAAAAAAAAAATCTTTCAGAAATGTCTGCTGAAAAACTATCACTTTTTATTTTAATTTTAAAATTTTTTTTTGGAAGTATGAAATACGTTTATACCAAAAACAATAATAACTTCATCCTAATTTGAACAAATTTTCATATTCTTATTTCTGCGTCAACTGTCGATCTATAGCTGACGTCCTCATTGCAGCTTTTAGGGGTACGTCGTCAAAGGAATTCATTCATAAAGAACGAAAATAAGTTAAAAATCTGGAATTTCAGATCGCAGCACTAATAGCCTCTCTTATCTTCTTCTATCTTTATCCATTAAAAACTCAAATTTAATACGGAACAGGAGCTAGCTTTTGCCGTGCCAAATTTTTTATACCCTCCGCGACCATATTCGAATTATTTTATTTCCTTCGTGGATTTAATATTACTTCTCATATCAAATTAGCTCCCAATGCCAAGAGAAAGAAAGGGAGGGAGCCAGAGTGTGAGAGATACAAAGAAAGACAGAGAGAGGGAGCAAGATATAAAAAACGCGACAGAGTGTGAGAGAGGGCCAAAAAGAGCGAAAAATCAAGAACGAGAGAGGGACTGAGAGAGCAAGAGATAAACTGTGAGAGAAGATATGTGAGAGAGAGAAAGAGGTATGTTCAGAGTACGTTGTTCAACTGCGTAAGAGTGCTTTAAATGAAAGATTAAAAAAAAACTATGCATAACCAAACACAATAAAAAAAATTAAAAAATGCATTATTTAAAAATATATTTTTAAAAAGCTTTCGTAGTTTATTTTCAAAAAAAAGTAAATAAATAAACTAAAGTGAAAAGTATAACGTCCTTTCTCAAGTAAATCTAACTGTCAACTTTAGCATACTCCCTCCAAATAAGGAGCAGTATCTTGCAAATAAATTATTAGAAATCAAGAGCCCGAACATCAACTCACAAAACCTAGTCTAAAGAAGTCAAGTTCCACGATCTGAGCGGCAAATTGACCGGCTCTAAATGTACGGTTAGCCGCTTATTGAACTCAACTTATTGAATTCGGCGTGCCTTCTGGCAGCTAGTCTAGTTGAAACCATATTTAAGCTTAGTCTAGCTCTACCATTTTGAGCAGAAAAATTTTCCATTAACAAGTTGTATATTGATGAGCTTAAATGCAGGGCAGGCCAAGAAACAGGCATCTTCTGTGACCATTTCAGTACCCAAATCAATGACCACAAATTTTGCCTTCCAAGTAGACTTTGTGGACTTTACACAAGCAGCAAAATGACCCACAGCTTTAATAGGAAGATCTGTCAGAGTTTTGGTGGAAAGTTCAGCGGCAATTAAGGCAATTCAAAATGTCGACACAGAGACGGTATGCAATTAAGATTAATTTACTATCGTGCGAAAAGACAGTGAACAACACTTGGGTCTAGAGTCACAAGGATGTCGAAGATAATGTTACGGCGGAATTCAAAAAATTCTTAATCCAAATCGGAGAATAACTAGAAAGATAGCCATGGATAACTAGAAAGTTTGATGGTGTGGTCCAAATTTCATGATTACCACTGCGTTGGTACTTCGTAAGTGTTTCACAAATAAGTTCTAAGCATTTGGTGCCACAGCCATAATCGGCTGACCTGGCTACGTATGTCCAACAATCTCAGGAGAATGCTTTAGTTAAACCGTTTTGAATCTATTGTGGAGATTAAACGCTGAAGGCATTAAGATCATTCGATCCGATGAGTATGACAAATTTTGACTGAAAAGACGAGAGCCAATATAAATATGGCTATGTTTTTTTTCGCTTAGTACTAGGACTCTGCTCTATTAGCAGTAATAATACCACATTATTTTTCTGAATTCCAAATTAACCATAGAGATACCAAACTTGCAGGACGTTCGAAAAAGGCAATGATCGAAATGTAAGCTTGCAAGAGTTAGCATTTCAAAAGAATAATTTGACTTTAGGAACACATTGCATGAGCAATTGACTGTGGGACAGCACTGTTCAAAGTGACTGCCGAGTTCACTAAACACATGAAACAGTATGAAAATTCTGAGCTGTATTGGATAAAAACCATTTCTTTCATGAAAATTTCATTATGAATGCCTCGAGGTAAGCCAAGCACACCATTCTAAGGTAGTCAAGTTTAACGGCTTATAACCCACAGTCGCATAATAATAAATTAAGATAACCAAAGATATTCAAATATATTCAAATCACACTAATTTTTACCAAACTATTCGTGAAAGTATAATTTTTATTTTGAGCGAACGGAATTTCGTTTCAGATCTGTAGCCTAAATCCAGAAAACGAGAGTATTTTAGTCATACGTGTATCATGGAAAGGTTGAACTAAAAGGGCCACGAAAATCAATATTTATTTCTTCTTCTAGATCCAACTACTTCTCGGAAAAAAAGTTATATGAACTATAAACACGATTTTTCCAATAGGTCAGCTCTTAGACCACATCATGGTGAGAAGAGTAGTATTCCTTTTAATCTAAGCCAAAATCCAACTGCGTATAGATCTGTTCTTGGTGCGATTTCTGGAGAGAAGAATACCAGCTCCATGCCAAATTTGAAGTAAATCAAACCACGTATATAAACAGGTCAGTCCCTAGTCTACTTCACGAAACCTTTTTTCATATAAACATTTCAAAAAACAGTCTGATATAATTCGTGTCGATCGGCTGGTGAATTGAGAAGAACACCGGTTATGTACAAATAAACGAGAGATTTGTATGTAGGTATATGTATGCAGATAGAAGTGAGTATTTTCTACACAACAAATTTTCAAAATATCTAAAATAAATATTTGTGGAGATTTAATGTTTTCTTCGTTGACATATTTCAAAATAAGTGGATATATATATTTAGCTGTATAAATTTATATATATATATATATATTTATATATTCAGAAGTCAAAAATCACTCAAACATATTTCTATCATCGACCATACTTTACTTCCTCTTTCATGGAAAAATCTATTTATTTTCGATAAAATAAATCAACACTGAAGCAGGAAAGGAAAATAAGAAAAGCATCATCAGTGAGCTTGAGTTAAATGCAAGTACAGCAGAATATGTAAGACAATTAAGAACAACAAAACAAAATATAGTAATAAAATAAAAACATATATATATATACATAAATAAAAATAAAATAATATACATAAAGGAAATTTGCAGGAAGTGTAAGAAAATTGAGAAATTTTTTTATGAAAAATGTCTTTTTGTCTCAAGCACCAAAATTTAAGATTGATTATTTTTACAATTTATTTCAACAATATTTCGTTGCATGTATGTATGTATGTGTGTATATTGAAAATATTTTATCGAAAAAAAATTGCTGCAATTGTGCATTAAATTTTAATAAAATTGATTTAGAAACTTGGTTTAGAATTTTTTTTTTGTATTTTGGTTTGCTTTATTTATTTAAAGGATGTTTTTTCGTTACGTGTAGTTTTCAATAAGGCAAAACCTTTTCTCGAGTTGGGCTTTATGACAGCTGTTGCTTGATTTATATTCAGTTTGGGCAAACTTACTTTGGACCAACGTTTGCAAATCGTACAAATTTATTACCAAAAAAAAAAAAAAATTCAGCTTGTGTAACCCATCACGCGTTGTGCGCTAAACTCGTTCGACATCATCGCCCATCATCAGGTTTCACATCACGTTTGCTCTGATTTACGTTCTAAGATACACCGCACACTGCGCATAGAAGACAATTTACTGCTGTGGGGCAGCGCATCGAACAACCCCCGAATGAGTCTATAATTGGGAATGTGCACATCGACTTTATGAAAGAATTTGCGACTTAGAAATCCCAACTCATGTAAGGATTATAGTCGAACGACCATAAATGGCCACACATCTTCGTTAAATGGGCCCAGAACGAGGTGAAAAATAACATCGTTTTCTTCAGCAAATTTTGTTCAACATTGAAGCAGTTTTTTTCGATTGGATGGGTTCGTTAATAAATAAAATTGTCCCATTTAAAGTAACAAGCCATAATATAGACACCACTGCATTCTCAAAAAGTCACTAAGTGTCGGCCTCTATGGTGCACATTTCTACAAAAATGATGTCGCTTATACTACTTATACCTTAAAGTGAGATACCATAAACCAAATGGTTACAAGATGTAAGTCTAATTTTTGAAAAATTTCGGATGTTTTTTTTTTTATTTAATTCATTATAAGTTTCGAGAAAGAAAGTTGTAAACAAGTTGTGTAAAGTTGTCAATATTCGGAGACCAGTCTCAGGTACGGAGGAGCTCCACCGCCTGGCGATTCAACCACAACGTCGCAATGCAAGTCCAAAAGTGTAGCGAGTGTCTTAATCGAACAAGCATTTTGTTTAAAGCCCGACTGGTTGTAAGTACACGATACAAACCATTCGTGAATAAGAGTATTTACAATCAAATCACTCACGTCAACAGTCAATGAGGGACGCTATAGAGCCTCGAATAACGACTTTATCGCGCCGTAAATGGAAGATTATGATGTGCACGACCCAAGGTTGGTTTCAACCAGACGACGCTATATGCCATACAGCCAATGAGTCAATCAATTTATTGCAGAAAACTTTAGAGAATCGACTACTTATTTCGCATCGAGGGTATGTGACGTGGCCTGCGAGGTCGTGCGATTTAACAATGCTGGGCAACTTCTACGCAGATAAGGCCGATATGATTGACATATTGGGATAGCATAGTCGGTATGTTATCGCTACAAAATGTGGTTGAAGCTTGTACCGCTCGACTGAAATTTATTCAAGCCAACCGTGACGGTGAAACACCTGCCCGAAATAATTTTTAAATATTTTCAAAAATGCTAAATAATTATCTTTATTATAAAGCCCTCAATTCTCGTCTATAAGAATAAATTTTATGCGTTTTATTACGTCTTGAAAATGAAATGTCCAGAAGAAACACCCTTTACAATAAACCCCTGCTGGTTAGGGGTTCAAGAATTTGGTCGCGGTAAGGCAACTCGGTCGTAAGAGCCTTTATAGTGGAACGACCCGGATTTTCTATCCGGCCATGGACTGTCACTCCCGCAACATTCCCCATAAATTGCTTTGAGAAATATTTTTGCTGTTACAAAAACAACAACAACGACACCAAAACAACAACAATAACAACAACAACAACAAAAACAAAAACAACAGCACCAACAACAACAACAACAACAACAACAACAACAACAACAACAACAACAACCACAACAACAACAACACCAACAATGAATTCCACTTTTCCTTAAATTTTCAATTTTCTTGGCTCCTCTAACCATTTCAATTAAAGAATTTTTACAATTCCGCTCCTCACAGTCAGACAAAACTATTTTAAAATTCTGTTTTGTGTGTCAAACTCATCATATTTGAGACACATTCCTCACATACACACACATACACACACGGACACTTGTAAATAAATACTCAGCATTTCAAATAAAATTTAATTACCAATGTTGAATTGATAAGCAACAATGAATTTATTTTCGTACGGTTTGTGCTTATCTTAATAAATATTTATATCGATTTTCTTTGTGAGTCAATGCACGAGTAATAGTAGCTCTACATATGTGTTAGTAATAAGAAGAACCACAAAAACATGTAACAGCGTGGATAAGTCGTACAAAATTTCTACGATTGCCTTTGAGCGAGGAGAGAGACGAGGTATTGTCGGAAGATGGGAAGTAAATAGATTACAGTATATGTGTGTCATATTTTAGTTATATATATATATACATGTGTAAGTATATAGAAAGCTTCATTCATAGCCATAATAAATTATATTAAATATGAATTTTCTTTATTTGTTGAGGCTGCAGGCAAAATATAAATTTTGTTTGCGCAAACTAGTCACTACTTTTCCGACAATTTTCTGACATTAAAACTAAACAAAGAGGAATCGTAAAAAAATGTGAAATATTTGAAACATACATACATACAAGCGTATATATATACATATATGTTTTTGTGATTTTATAGCAACAAATGTCGGCTTTCAATTCCTTGGAGTGAAAAAGTCTGCATGTCGTGTCATGTAGTCCTCTGACAGCTGACATTGTATGCAGTAAGCAAATGTAAAAAAATTCATTCTGGCAACGAGAAATGATTTTAAAATTATTTAAAAATATTTAAAATATTTAACAAATGGAAATTTAAAAATAAAATTTCTTCCTTTTGATTGAAATTTTTTCTATTTTAGTTGACTTTAGTTCACATTATTTATAGTAAATTCAATTTAGTTTTAAATAAAGCAAAAATATAAATTTTCAATCAAAATAAAGGGAGTATTTGTTTAGACACGTGGTTTTCAAAAAGAAATAAAATTCTCTTACTGTTGTTTTAAAAGTTGAGCTTTAATATAAAGATGTGCTTCAGAAATAGTTTCAGACAATAAATTATTCAATAAATAAATTCCAGCTAGGCAACCCAATTTTTCATCACTTTTTGCAGCAATTGCGTTGGTATGTCAGCAATAATGCACCAAATATTCACTTTTAAGACGTTAAACGACTCGGCTTAGCTGCTTAGGCAAGTAACTGCACATAACCACACGAAAAGTAGTTCAACACTCGCACTCAACGCGAAGCGCTCACCAGATGTGCTCTTCAACAAATTGCTTATTCTCTTGGCTGGTTGGCATGTAGCACCGTTTTGTTGGAACCAAGCTTTGGTCGCACACATCAACATCCTTCAACTCAGGCATGATAAAGTTATTAATAATTTCTCTGAAGTATTATTCATTGACTAAGACATTATGATCGATTTCAGTTTAGAAAACTTGAGAACCAGTGGTTTCCTCTGCCAATAGGGAACACGAACAAGTGGGTTTTGGAGAAAATAACGGCATAGAAATAATGGCTTGTGAACTATCATCACTCCACTTGCCACAATTTTGTACTAAAAGTGAGGTTCTTTGCTGTAGAAAGTTTTCTTGTAAAACCCAATTTCATTTACTTACTAGTTTTGTACCCACCCATCGAACATGCTACACGCTTGATGGTCATTCGGTATCAGTTCTTGTACTAATAGGACTTTAAGAGGCCACAAATAAAAATTCCTCTGAAAAATTATCTTCAAATCTACAATGGGATCGATAAAGCTCGAATTTTAGTACGCGAAAGCCGAAGGAATTCTTCGGATCTTGTTTGATACCTTCCTTTACGGCAGCAACAGCAACTTCGGCGCACACTGAATGTCCCCTTTAAGGACACGAATCATCCTTTAGAGTAAATATGGTGGGATACCGTCCCTTGGTCACTTTATAGATCGACATTGAATGATTATGTCGACCGAATATTGGGTGAAGTGCGCGATTATGCGATTTCCAAAATTTTTTTTCTGGAGTAAGTATTTTTTAGTGAAATAAGGAGCCATATTGAGTAAAACTCAAGTAAAAGCTATCAAAAAGACCAACTACGGAAATATTATTACATGTAATTGGCACTTTGGAAGCGATTCTCGGCGAAGCTCCGTGCAGTTTGTGGTGGGGGACCTCCGAACGCCTGATGGGGTTTTATGACGAGCCTTAATTTCTTGTCAGAAGTACACTCAGAGGGTTTGCGACTCCCTGCCCAGGGACGACTGCAGCTATAAAAATTAACTTAAGCAACACGCAATGCTAACCACATGTCTTTTGCGGCTAACTCAGCTAAGTATCTCAAACTATTATTCTTTAAAGAAAACTTAGGAAGATACATGCTTAAAGCAGGCTTAGCAAAAAGCATTTAATGCTTTAGCTGATATAGTAATATATCTGAAGTGACAAAGTATTTCAGATATCAGCACGTCTCCTAACTGAATATAGAACCTTTTTTACTGAATTTCTGGAAGACCTTGAGAATGAGCAAACTAAAAATTTTCAATTTCAACTCTTTAAAGTGTTGAAATATTCAAAAGTAATAACCTTATCGAAGCTGAATCTCTAACAAAGCCCTTCTGCTTTCAATTATTATTATTTTCTTCTTAACTCGCGCAGTCTTTGTTTCCCATTTCCTCCGGCATCAGTTCACTACTCTTCACCGCATCATCGGCTACAGCAGCACTGCCGTTGTTTCATTTGTTGTTGTTATTGCCCTTGTTACCATCATGCCTTGCTGCGCATCGTCGCGCGCAGCAAAATATGATTACAACAGCAGCGGAAAGCACTTAAGTTACGCATAATAATAATAAAATTAAATTATTGCCTGTCGCTGCAGCAGTAACAGAGGCCAAGCAGCGTAGCGCAATTGCGGGACAAAGCAGCAAAGTAGCAGAGAAGCAAAGAATGTAAGGTATACAGTAATGTTGATGAATAAAAGGTCACAGCAGGCAATGGCAGGCGGCAGCTAAGGCAATTTTGTGCTTACGACAAACGTCGGCGCGGGCGTATACGTAACATTTTTAAGGCGATTCAATGGCGCTGCTACCACAATGTTTAACTAAACGCAAACGCAGGTGTTTTCTTGGCTATGCTTACTCTTCATTATTATTATTTACTAATTTTTTTATTTTATTTTTTGAAGACAAATACATACAGACAAACAGACATATTGAAGTATAGCAAATTTAATTTTCATTGATGTTATTGTGTTTACACTCTAAAGATGGACTAAAAGAGAGAGAGAGGGTGATCACACTGTTGTATGTTAGGTTTGCTTGTATGTATATATATATACATGTAAATATATGTATATATTTATATATATTTACACTCACCCTTGCACCACCTCGCCGCGTCGATTGGGATACAATTCCGGATGTTGGCCATAACGCAAATAAACTTCCGTCTGTTGTTCAGCACGCGAATCAAATGTGAAATATGTCTGCAAAAAACATGTGAAAAGAATAAAAATGTAAAAGCAATAAGCAAATGAGATAGATGGAAATATGAGGGGAAGGCAAATAAGTGTACTTTGTATGGAAATATATTTATATATACATATGTACTTATTTGTAGTTATTGAGTGGAAAATATTTATACGGCACAGCTGCTGTGGCTTTTTATTTTATTTGCATATACATACATGTTTAGATTGTATATATTAGGGTGTCAAATATCTCCCTTCCGCCTTTTTGTCTTTCGCGGCTATGTACAAAGCGCTCGTATCTGGCAACACTATACATAATTTGAAAGGTCTTGACATAACCTACAAAACAACGCTATGCATGATTAGTTTGGATCTTGCGTTCAACAGTTATAAACGTGTAAACATGGAGCTCACTAACGCCGAAATTCGCGCCATTTTAAAGTTTTCCTTCGTTAAAGGCAAATCCGCTAGAGAAACTTCCCGTGAGATTAATGGTATTTTGGGGGATGGTACTGTATCACGGAGGAATGGTTTCGACGATTCAAAGCCGGTGAAAACGACACCATGGATAAGCCAGCCGGCGGAAGACCTGTGACGACAAATACCGATCAAATCATGGAATACATCGAGTTAGACCGGCATATGGCATCTCATGACATCGCCCAGGAGATGGGAGTTAGCCACCAAACCATTTTGAACCATCTGCAGAAGGCTGGATACAAAAAAAGTTTGATGTTTGGGTGCCGCATATTTTGACGCAAAAAACCCTTCTGGACCGAATCAACGCCTGCGATATGCTGCTGAAACGGAACGAACTCGACCCATTCTTGAAGCGGATGNTATTTTATTTTATTTTATTTTATTTTATTTTATTTTATTTTATTTTATTTTATTTTATTTTATTTTATTTTATTTTATTTTATTTTATTTTATTTTATTTTATTTTATTTTATTTTATTTTATTTTATTTTATTTTATTTTATTTTATTTATTTTATTTCGATTTAATTTATTTTATTTCACATTTTTTGTTTGGTTTTAATTTATATTACCATTTTTTCTTTGTTGTATAACAAATATCCAATTCATACAAACAACAAGGCCTCGTAGTTTACTTAATAAAAATTAATATATTGCATGGCCGCAAAAACAAATTAATTTAATTTATTTTATTTAATATAAAGTAATATACTTTATTTTATTTTGTTTCATTATATTTTATTATAATATATGCTACTTCACCTTTTTTATAATATGGTATTTTATTTTATTTTATTATAGTTTATCTTTTTTATTTCCTTTTTTTATTATTTTATTTCATTTTATTTTAAATTAAGTTAATTTGAGTTATTTTTTTTATGTTTTATTTTAATTAATTTTATTTTTTTTTATATTTACTTTTTTATTTTATTTTTGTTTAATTGCTTTATATTATTTTGTTGTTTTTTTTTTATTTTATTCGTGTTAATATGTTTAATTTATATATATTTTGCTGTTTTTATATACAAATTGTTCAGATTTGAAATGTAATTGTCTAATTAATTTTATTTTCAAAGCGAAAAATCTGTTCACTTTGTTTTTCTAGATGTGTGTATATTAGTTTGTATGATGTACATATATATTGTTCTGAAATGAGATTCTCGGAAACCTCATTAGGGGGGTAACCTGGTTTAGAGGGTAAGAAAAATCGATTTTTTGAAACTTATCTCATTCGATTAGAAATAAATTCAGAAATATTTCCACAAAATTTCACAGTAAACTTCTTAATCGTTCCGCAGAAATGGCCTCTGAAGGACAATGCGAAAATCTTAGGTTCACATAGAATAGCAACTCCGAAGCTACAAAAAAAGTATTCGCTTTTATGCTTTAGATGAAAACTACGATCGCTATCGTTTTCACAAATAAGGCTCTTCGAGCGAGAAGTGCCACAAACAAATAACGTAAATTTTTTTATAAGATTTGTGTATCTATGACCTATTTCAAAAGTATGTGAAACATTTCATACGTAAGGCAACCTAAAACATTGTTCCGAATATCATGCGATTTTCAGCGATCTAAGCCAGGTTCTTCCCCCCTTAATACTCGTGGTTGCAGGTATATGCAACCAGTACCACCTAAACTACAATTATGCGCAATACACCTTTATGTGCCGCTATAAGCCCAGATAAGCACAGACTCCAAACTGCTGCTTCTCGGAATATAATAATAATGATAATAGTAATAATATTGTAAGCACTGAATCAGTTGAATGTTAGTTGGTATTAAATTACCTATGTGGCAAGCTCACTTACCAACAACCAACATTTTCCACTTACATACGTATAACTCAATGTATATACATACAGCTGTAGAAGAAAGCATATTTACACTAGCAGCCGCTAATAAAGTCAGTCCAAAGAGGTGATGATGGCTGGAATATTGGATGGTAATTATGTATGTGCAAGCATATAACTATCACGGTAATATAGTTGTGTACATGACACTATGTATGGGTGTAAGTTTATGTGCATATTTGTTGAGTTCACAGCTAAGCTCGCATGCAAGTAACACTTTTTGGAGGCGACGTGTTGCGTTTAAGCAACAGCGTTGTCCTTATCAAAAGTGTAAGTGCGTTTGTATATATATATATCTATATAGATGTGTGTGTTACATTGCTTTTATATTATATAATCATGCATAGTTGCGTTCATGGCGCAGAACATCTTTTGTTTGCACTTTGTATGTGTTGAATGTTTGTAAATATGTATGTATATATTAAATACAGGTAAACAACACTATACATTACTAATGATGGGGGAGAAAATGTGGTGGTTAAGCTTTATGTTTGCAATTATGTGCTTATATTGTATTTATATGTAAGGGAATACCCGTACGTGGTTAGGTTCAGTTTAAAAATTGCAGGAAATTTATAAATAATATATTCTTTTTATTTCCAAAGATATAAATCTTATATTTATTCCAAAACCCATCAGGAATAAGTACAAGAGATGGTATTAGCTTTCAAAAAGAGGAAATAAAATTTTTCCAGATGTGGCTCTCACAGACTAAGCTTAGTTAATTGTAGAATAATCAACAAGAAAACATTTTTTATATATGTTACCTCTTACGTCTTTTCCTTAGTCTAGTCTACTCGAAAATATGCGGGCGATATATTTTTAGCACAAAGTGTATACACACAGCTCGTTAACAAAATTCTCTTACACGCAACTCTATGTCTTCTTTTCTAAATAAACCAAAACAGATGCGAATGAACCATTTCAAGAGCCACAAAATGTTTACAAAAACACTTATACATACACACCATTTATCTATGCTTGCACAGCCTCTGCTGAAAAGGAAGCATTGTCAGTCATATTAGTAATTATCCAGCTTTTCACGCTGCACTTTATTACTTCCACACATCCTTTTCAATTCAGGTGGTGAAAAAAAAATAAAGTTGAAAGAAGAAAGCTAGGAAGACAGAAGGCAATGTGCTGATACAAAGCCACAAGCGAAGTTGCTTCTATCTTGGCGAATGTAGTCGGAAACAAAAGAAAAACACTTGCACTCTTTTGCATTCATGCCAACATCAATAATGTTGTTTATACGCGTTGATAACTGTATTTGTGCTCATTCGTTTCACATAGTTTGCGGAAAACACCGTTGCAAGATATTCGTAAACACCAATGGAGTTCCGTCATATGTGGAGTAATACGAGTCGGGATTGTTTATGTTAAACCGTGTGACAGAATCTATTCTAAACTTAGTTTATTTTATAATAGTTTACTTTAATATAAATAATAAATTTATAACATTTATTTAAAATTAATAGCATTTTATTTTATTCAAATATTGATAATTTATACTTTTATATCAGTTTTAATTTAAATATTTTATTTCAATTGAATTAGTTTGAGATTATTTTGCCATATAGAACATTTTTAAGTTAATTCTTTTATTTTTTTGCTTTTTTTTATTTTAATACATTATATTTTATTTAGTTTAATTACATTTATTATATTTTATTTCCCTTCTTTTTTAAGATTAAATTATTATTGTACTTTATTTTGTTTTATGTTGCTTTTTTATTTTATTTTATTTTGTTGTATTTTACGTTAATTATTTTAATATATTTTATTTTATTTCATTTTATTTTATTTTATTTTATTTTATTTTATTGTATTTTATTTTATTTTATTTTATTTTGTTTTATTTTATTTTATTTTATTTTATTTTATTTTATCTTATTTCATTTCATTTCATTTCATTTCATTTCATTTCATTTCATTTCATTTCATTTCATTTTATTTTATTTTATTTTATTTTATTTTATTTTATTTTACTTTATTTTATTTTATTTTATTTTAATTTTTTTATTTTATTTTAATTTAAATTATTTTATTTTATTTTATATTATTTTATTTTATTTTATTTTATTTGATTTTATTTTGTTTAACTTTCATTTATTTGTAAATTATTTAGATTTTCTACGGGAGCTCTTCTGCGCAGTTTGCTCATCTAACGGTTTGCTTTTATTACTTCTGCTCTTCTGTTACCTTCCTCTGTAGGCATCACATTAATTTTATTCTTCCACAAAGACATACGTCTTTACTTGCACAGAATTTAGTTAAACGAAGAAAATTTTTTGCACGCGCGCGAATTGTAATGGAGTTGAAAATGTGAAAACAAGTTTTCATAAATATTTATGACTCTATTAAGGCGCAAAAGACGCAACGGTGATATATATGCAATACCAGAAGCTACAAGAAAAAAGCGCAGTAAAAAACGATAAGCAAGAGAGCAAATGATTCTGTAAAATGGTAAAATAGAAGTATGTAATGTGAAGCTGAACCGGCAGCAGCAGCATTAGGCTGAAGGGGACCGAGCAGTTTTTCTGTTCACGTAAAATATTTTATATTTTTGTAAGTAGGCAAAATTGTTGTACGTTTTGGTTAGTAGAGCAATCAACCAGGAAAGAGAAACTGAAACAGTGACTGCCTCTTAAGCCACGTTTGACATTTCATCATATATGCAACT